TTGGGATGCTTCGGGCTGATAGTTGAGTGATCGGCGTGGGTACCGACGGGCTCGCCAAAAGCACCAAGAGCACCTCCCTGGCTCTTACTAAATGGTGAAGCGCAACAATAGCAGCGTGCCGTGTCTCACAAGGTCGCCTTAGCGGATATACGGCTTTCGCCGGGCGAATACCTTTATATAATCCCTCATCCGTGACATCTCAGCCTCAAGCTGCATCCAGACTGAGTGCGTTCTTTCTGCATGCTTTTCGAGCCGCATCGTCCGAAGCTGTCAAGATAAACTAAGAATTCTCCGACAGAGGACCTGTTGCCTCTGTGGTCTGGAGTGAGGGCACGCGAGCCAGATGTCTTCGAATCTGCCGGCAAGATGTGCACATTCAAGTCACAGGATCTGCGCCTGGTCCGCTGTCCCTATAGTGCTGCAGCTTCTGACGGGTCCCATTTAAATCATTTACACTATTGTTCTTAACCATTTGGCAGTTTCCGAAAATAGGGGATCCTTATTATAAGGACCCAAAATAAGGTACCCTAATTTTCTGAAACTCCCATTTCTCTTCTCCCAATCTCTCCAGCACGGAGCCGGATTCGGAGGCATTCAGCACGGGCTAGGGCATGCCTTGTAGCAGGTCCACACATTGAAGCTCGAAATCCTCTCTGACAAAACTTGCCAGAGCACATTCACGCATCTTCTTCAGGCGTCCTGCAAAAGTTGAAAGAACAATCCGGAGGGGAAGTGTGTAGATGGTGATGAATGACTCAGCTGAGACACAATCAGCCCTTTCGCAAAAGATCATTCCATCTGAAATCCTAGCCGCCTCGCCGGAATGCCAAAGGAGCGGGCGTCTGTGGCCGGTGCCCCAAGGAAAAGAGTCTGAACAGAGCTGGCACTCACACTTGACCAGCCCATCTCTAGGCGAGCTCCGCGGGTGCCTCAACATACCTTAGCAGACCCGTTTTTGCAACAACCCTAAACCCTAAACCCTAAACCCCTAAACCCTAAACCCGAAAACCCTAAATCCTAAACCCTTAGCTTGGCAGACCCTACACCCTAAACCCCCGAGCATTCGCGACTCCAGGGCTGACGTGTCTTGATTCCTTCCTCGACCCTCTTCATCAGATAATGTAGGCCGATTACCACTATATACCTTTTTGGGGGTTTAGGGTTTAGAGGCCAAAATAATTACCAATACCATTTTTGGGGTTCCTTATATATAAGTATAGTATCATATACCTCCAAACCCTATTCTAATTACTCAGGGCCCTATACTAAGCATAGTCACCCCATGTGGTCCACTGATGAAGCCCTCAAACTCGCATGGTTGCTTAATATCTCTAAATAGTTAGAAGCTTATCTCCCTCTTTCATACGCAGGGTCTTACGGTCCCTGATATTGGCTGCACATGCTTTGCGGTTTTAACTCAACTGCAGATTGCCCTGGAAAGCACATGCCTGGAGCCCCGATGAAAAGCTTGCAGACAAGCCCTTAGTGTAGGGGCCGTAATAATTAGGATAGGGTTTTGCGGCCCACTATACTAATTAATAAGGAAGCCCCCCAAAATAGTATTGGTAATTATTAAGGCCTCTATATTATGGATGCAGGTTGCGCAGCTGAAGGAAACATTCGTGTGCAGCACGGTAGGTGCACCTACGGACTATATAGCTGGAGTGATGCAAACACAAAACCAATACAAGCCGTAACTTGGACGCCAGACAGAAAGCTTTACAATGCTTCTAATTAGCTTTATGGCTCAGGCTTGTATCATGGGGGGTATTTATTTAGGTTTGCAGGCTCAACCTCTTGTAGCTGCGTTTTGCATTCTAGCTACTTGCCAAGATGATAAGCTGTACTACATGCCGTCTTGCAAAAACATGGCGCGGGTATAGCCTTTAGGGTTTGGGCGGGGGAGAACTCGGAGAGAAGGTGTCACATCAAGATGCAAAAGGTAGTCGTCGGCTCCGTTCGACTGCACCTGGCGGGCGATTCGAGCAGGTCGCTACGAAGCGGTGGACATATGGTTCCACTTCTACTACATAACATAGATCAGATGCATAGATGTATAGACGATGGAACTTATCAAGATGCAACGATCTTCCTCAGCCGCCTTGGCTCAATGCAGAAGCATGCAGCTGTGAAAGCCGACAGTTGGAGGTAGGCATGCTGGCAAGACGAGGATTCTCGGGGTGCTGCCTACTCCGAAGGGTGAAGGAACTCTTCATGCAGGTTCCAAGAAGGAGGGCTGCAAACTCCCCACTCTGTAACAGCTAGATACTATGTAGAATATGATCATGTACAGCCCTTGGTATGACCCCTACTTTGGACTGTTGCCGGGTGGTGGCAATACCCAAGATAAACTACAACCTACGACCTGACCCCTCAAACCCAAACTCAAAGTCTATCCTGAGCCCGAAGGTTCCTCTTGGGGGGTTCAAGGCGTCTCCGGGCACAGAGACAACCATCCTCTCCCTCTCTCCTTCTCTACCTCTCTATCTATCTCGCCATTTAGTTAATCCGTCTATATATATATATATATATATGCATGCATGCATGCATGCATGCATGCATGCAAACACGCTTATTCACATAAATGTGTATAGATGCATACTGTATGATGTGTGTAGTGTTGTGGTCATATATGCACACGTAGAGGAGCAAAAAGAAATGTACATGCGGTGTTGAACTCAGGTGTAGGGCGTGACAGCATGGGCTGGTTGCGTCTGAGCGCAAAAGCAAGAATGGCCAACATGCGGCGTGTACCTTTGGGTTCCCTTAGAAAGAACACCATCGCACACCCCAAATCGTCATAGCATGAATGTAGGACAATGATACCCATAGACGGCAGAAGTCGACAGTCCAAATCCTAAGCTCATCGCAGGCCCCAAATCGTCACAGCATGAACCCTGGGAATCGGTTATTGATCCTAATCAAGACTGCTGAGCGCATATTGATTTTGGTGTCAAATCAATTATTTATTCTATGATTCGAGGCGCCTCAGAGCGAGCCTCAAAATCAATATCAAATTATACTTCTTTTCGCCATCAAATCAATATATTTCCATGGTTTATGAAGCCTTCAAATCAATATAAACTCAGTTCTGCTTAACTCTGATTAACTCTGATTATTTCTGATTAACTCTGATTAATTCTGATTAATTCTGATTAATTCTGAGTAACTCTGATTAATTCTGATTAACCTCTGATTAACTCTGATCAAACAGGCGTTTGATCAGAGACAATGATATGTTCAAACGAAATCGAAATCAATACCCAAATCAATATCCAAATCAATTTTTTTTAAATCAACAGAAAATAGCTATTTAGATCAATAAGTCGATCAATACGAGACCCATTGATTTAATCAATAACAAGCAAGCAAATCAATATCAATGTAAAACATATGCGTTCTATTGATTAGGATCAATATCCGATTCCCAGGGAATGTACGACAATGACACCCATAGAAAAGAAAAGTCGACAGTCCAAATCCTAGGCTCTTCATTACTGGAAACGTTATGGCCTTGAAGATTAGGATAAGCAAACCAAGCCTGCAACATGGAAACACCTTTTTCCACAGCGCCTGGCCCGAAAAAGCTAGGCACGGCACAACACAAAACCAACACCTATCATACCTGAACCTGGGGGCAATAAACCGTCCCGGCAAATGCCAACTAAAATCTAGCATTCGGGGCTTGAAAGGCTCATTGGGTATATCCTCATGCCTCAATCTTTCAAGAGGACCTACGGTTTGGCTCCTGTAGAAGGCGTTTCAAAGCGTAGGGTTTCTCAGGGCTGAGTTTGAGGTGTGCTTCCAGCTTGGCTGGGACGCACCAGCCCTCAATATAGCGTTGGCCTTGCAGGGGTCCTATGTTTGTATATCATATATTACAGGTAATTCAACGGCCAAGTATACACATGGACCCATAGGGTCAAGGGCATTGGGGAAGCTGTTCTGTTTAGCGTCCCAAACGCTCTCAAAGCCCCAGGCTAGAAACCTTTATAAAGAAGTCAAACCCGAACCTCCGAAGCTGCAGGCTACGCCACACTCGACGTGTTAACTCCGAGCGCAAACCCAAACCTGCGCCCTTCATTTGGCTCCAAAACAGACACAACAAACCCTAAAGCTCAAACTTCAAACCCAAATGCGAAAGCCTGATTCTGCCGGCGCAGGCGGACAGCGAAGGCCGCGGCGGCGGCGAAAGCACCGAGCGACACACCACCGGCCGCGAGCAACCTGAACAGGATATGGGTTCGACTGTCACTCGGGTTAAAGGCTAAAGTTACCTAAACTACCTAGACAAAGGGGTTATTACCCAGGACCTATATGAAGCGTCCGTGAAAAACAAAGGTGTAGTGCTTAACCTACCATCTAGGAAACTGGAGGTTTCCAGGGCTTGAGATGTTTCTAAGCGGACTTGAGTTCATATAGGGGCCTTAAGAATTAGAATAGGGCTCTGGGGCCCATTCTACTCTAAATAAAATAAGGAACGCCCCAAAACTCTGTTCTAATTATTTAGGCCCCTATATTGTACGGATAGTGGCATGGGACGGGGTAGGGTGTAGTTTTCTAGGCTCATGGACTACTTCAAGATGCTTCTGGAAGGGTTCAGGGGGTGCGGGAACCAGCGACTACACCTCAAACATATGGGTAGTTCTCCAAAACAGGGTCCGTTTTTAGGTCCCCAATATAGTACGGCACCCTTTATATAATGACCCTGAAAAGGACCCTAATTTAGAAAACCACCCATATGTTTATTTTTTACACCTAAGCCATTTCGATGACAGGCTGCAGCCGCTGCGTAGCTGGAGTGGCCGCAAGCTGCGTGGCTGGAGCCTGTTCCTCCTTCGAAAATCGATTCTGTAGGGCTTGATAGATCTTACCGTTCTTCCTTAAATAGTTCCTGAGACCTGAAACCCCAACCCCCCCCTTCAAGAACAGAACATTTCCGGAACCCTGAATCCTAAAATCCTGGATCTCCACTGAGCTGAAAAAGACTCCAGCGGGTCCTTTTGCTCCTTTGCCTGCTCCTCCTGCTCTTCCTTCCTCTCTGCAGCCAACTCCTGTCGCAACTTCTCCTGACCAGGACAAGTTGCGGATCTAGGACAAAATAATAGCGTTTAGCGTCTGTACTATGTATCCTTCGAAGCTTTGGCGGCTTTAAGGAGTTTAGGTCCGGAGCATGTCCATTTTGGGGATGGAGGATTCAGAGTTCAGGGCTCTAGGGATCAGGCCTGGAGGGTTTCGGGTTGCACTTGCCCGTGCTGTCACCCCAACAGTGTCTTAGGGTTTCTCTATCATAAAAAGCTTACACCCCTAAACTCAAAAACCTAAAACCCCAAACCCATACTGTCTCAACACTAAACCCCCTCTAGAAACTCCTTTAGACTGTAGAGCAGAAGCCCTCAACCCCTCTAGCAACCCTATAAAAAGCCCCAACCCTAAACCCTGAACCCTATAAACCCTATAAACCCTATAAGCCCTATAAACCCTATAAACCCTATAAACCCTATAAGCCCTATAAACCCTACAAAAAACCCTAAACCCTACAAAAAGCCCCCATGGAAGGCCAGGCCTTCTCCTCCGCGAGCTCCTTGCTCAAGCGCTCGCGCTCCTGGGCCAGCTCGTCGTGCAGGCGCTGCTTCTCCTTTGAGGGTTTAGGGTTTAGGGTTTAGGGTTTAGGGGTTTAGGGGTTTAGGGTTTAGGGTTCCCGAAACCCCCAGGTACCTACTATATAGGGCCTTAGGGGCTCTAGTGCCCTATATAGTAGGTACCTGGGGGGTTAGGGCTAGATGCACATTGTTGTGTGAATAGGCCGCCATGAATGTTAGTGTTATTCGTGTGGCTCTTGCGAAAACTGAGAGCGATTGCTCAAACTATTATTGGCACCATCGGGAACTTTACTGCTGTTACAAACTTTGTCTCGTTGCTTCTGTTCGTTCGCGGGTGGGTGGGTGGCAATGGGGATTCAATGCTTCTTCGTAGGTCGCTGCACGCAGATGGGGCGGCTTGAATGTGGCTTCGAGCGCTTGACACAAGTAACATAATGAAGTTGACCCATAACTCGAGATCGGCCTGCATGACGGATCCCTCTACCAGTTTCGAGGCCTTGTTTTCAAGGTCGTAGCTCGGTCTTTAACCGTATAAACGAGAAGGGCACGCCCGGGAGACATCTTAGCCTGGCCTAAACTCTACAGTGTCTAGGCCCTAAACCCTGGCCCTAAACCCTCAACCATAAGGCCAACCCCAAACCCTAAACCCTAAACCATAAGGCCCCTAAACCCTGAACCAAAAGGCCCCCTTCTCAGCATGGGCTTGGATGGTGTGCCAGCGAACACTCCCCAACAGCAGGGCAAACCCTAAACCATAAGGCCCCTAAACCCAGCACCATAGGGCACCTAGACCCTGAACAATAAGGCACCTAAGCCCGGAACCATAAGGCACCCTTAGCAATGCAGCTCCCGAAGGGATCGGAGTTTGGTTGACAGGTCAGGAGTCTTGGGCTCCGCATTAAGCAGCCAACGTGTCGGGAATAAGGACATATGTAGTATGAACAAACGGTGTGTATGTATATATATACACACACATTTACACGTTCTTTCTAAATCTGTGCAGACAAAAATATGGTTTACATATATATATATATATATCTACGTATACGTATTATCTGCAAAGGGGCTTTAACACAACAACATTCCCAATCATAGTGGTATGCCTCTTCAAGAGGAGCCAAAAGGGTTGTTGGTGGGTTCCGGTGCTCCAAGCACGAAGCTGACGTGTCGGGAACCCAGAGCACCAAACTCGATCTTAAAATGTGGAAGCTCAGGGTCTAGAGTTGTGGGTTTAGGGCTCAGGGTCTAGGATTCCGTTTTGGATTCCGGGTTTAGGGTTTAGGATTGCGGGTTTGGAGTTTAGGGTTTCGGATTCCTGGTTTAGGGTTTAGGATTCAGGGTTTAGGCAAATGAAACCCTGAATCTGGGCGTCCTCCTCGCGCAACTTGCTCTCCTTCGCTGCCTCTGTGTTCTGCTGGTCCTGTGTCGTAAGCATTCCGGAGTCTAATGCGTTGGGGGCATCGAGTTACGACGGAGGACTGGGGATCATACTCTTAAAGACACATATACGATTTCGCAGTTTATCTACGGCAGAGCGTTGTTTTGCGTTCATGTCCGGGAATGCGCTGAGGCTGATATACGCTGGCGGCCTTAACTATCGAATTAAACTCCAAGACCGGGATATTGAAGGCTGGTTCATGCAGGAACAGCTTAGAAATTCTTGCACAAGCTTTACTTGAGGCTGCTGCTACGCTGTGGATGTGTGGCCGGGTTTTGCAATGCCATTGTTCATAAGACTACAGCATAGCCATAGATACCGGAAGCGACGAGCGTATTACTGTGAGACTGACCCAACCTAGCACAACATCCCTGCAAGCCATATGACCCTGGCAAGTAGATCCGTGTCGCCCTCCTGACCAAGCGCCCAGTAGCAATCCCATAAAACCCCTATACAAACTTCCCAACAGAAAAACCGTCTAAGTGTACAGGAAACCTCTGAAAGCTGCTTTTGGTCCGAATCACAGGGGCACCGGCCAACAGCGCTGGGTGGGACGCAGTCGTGCCTTCCACATCGGCCTCGTGTCAAAGTCTCATTCTCAGGGGTTCCTGAAGTCTCGAAGGACTCATGTTCTTAAGCTTTTAGCATACTCAATACTAGGCGGGATTGGTGGATACTGTGGGGAAGCATTGCAGGCATGATGCATTTGCATATACACCTGTGTATGTATATGAAAGTTTTGTGTGTATATGTATGCATTGTAAGGACACATACAATATAGTCTTTAGTTGTTGTGGCTGCAGCCGCTAAGTCTTCGGTCGAGCAGTCATCTTTCTCAGAATTGGGCTCCGGGTGAAGGGTGTGAGGTTTTCAGGGTGCACGCATGTTGTGGCTGTGGCTGCTGGAGGGGGATGGTGATTTGTGTGTAGAGAAGCATAAGAGCGAGAGCGACATATACATCTACTCATGTGTCCAGCTGTCCAGTTAAATACACACACACACATACATACATACATACATACATACATACATACATACATACATGCATGCATGCATGCATGCATACATGCATACATACATACATACATACATACATACATACATATATACACATAATATA